TGCCTATTTAAATTTCACAAGGGAAAGGCTGCAGATGTTGGAAAAAACCTAAATATTAGTTTTACAATGGTGAAAATGACACTCAAAACATAGTATGTGGTACCACATGCGCTGGTCTGCGTGTTTGGGGGTATGTTTATTCCTATATTTGCAAAACTGCATCCATATAGGGATATCATATAAGAAAGATCCAGTACACACTTTCATATTTCATGCACTTTTGGGCGGGGGGACGGGCCAGCTTTCATTGTGTTAGCTGCTCAGTCGCTTTTACTGCAAAAAATATAACTTCTGAAATGATCTTTATAGTGTACTGGCAGGAAGACAGACTGATTTCATAGGTCTTCTCTATTTCTTGCTTCTACATCATGAACCTGACAAAAATACGAAGATGACGCGTGCAATGGCTGTGATAGTAACGAAGTTACTGCATTATGAATACTGTACAGGTTTTGCGTGTGTGTCTTTATAAACAAGTTAGTGGGGTGATAGGCACAGCTGATTATATGACAGGTCTGTTGTCACTTCCTGAACCCACCCTTGATTACTCGGGTATGCAAGGCATGAGGAAGCAGTATGCTGACAACTAGAAGACAATCACTTGGGTACAAACAACCCACAGCGATCAGACCAAATATCTTATTTAAAAGTATTGTCTTAAGCCCTAGAGTAAGGCTTAGGAGATGCTAGTTCCTCCTTCTTTGTTCCCCTCAAATTCAGTGATACACCCAAGTACTGCTACCTCTGTGTGCTCTCTCTGCGTTTCCCCTACAGCACTCTCCTTGTTGTATCTGCAATTGGTCCAGCAGCTTCCACTCTCCAACCCCCAGAGCAAGACTCCCTCGGTACCCTCCTGATAAAGGAACCAGGCTGCAATTTGGCTTCCAGCACTTTGCTGTCTCTGATGAGACTCGCAGAGAGATGCTTTGAATAGCTGAGATGCACGAAGAAGGTCTAAACCTCAGGGATCTCCCCGGTGCTTGTCACACTTACCCGCCGCATGCCTCTTGGACCTGGATTAGCTCTGTCACTCTGCATTTGAGATTTGCACAGATTTACTGCCTGATCCCTCATGTCACACACTCACAGGGTGTTTTTTCAGAGAACCCTAATAACTACAGGACCTTCCCCGGTGTTGGATCGAACAAGTGAACGATGAGGGGTGGAAACAGACTGATCGTGTCTGTGACTATGTAGACATTTTTAGTAGCAGACACACTGCAAGGCCAACTGCAGACACAATGGCTCTTACCATTTATTTTTATTATAAAGCTTAGGCCCGCGTTTTCACTCTGCCCATTGTAAGGCTATCGGTCAGCTCGCTGGAGAGCCAAACCAGCCGTGGTTATGATTTGTGTTGTCGTTCGTCCGTGTAGCCTGCAAACTCCAATGCCCCGGAGGCAATTCTTAGTTTGAAGTGGCGACTTTGGGGCTTGTGAGGCAATAAACGTACTGCAGGCAGACAGGCTGAATTCTGCCTATGTGTTTTGATTACCTTTCATTAAAAATAAGAGGCTACTGCCACACTGTAGATTTAACACAGTCTAGCTACATTTAACAGTGCGTACAATTACAGGCACATTCTCCGATGCAAGATACTGGCTGCTCGGAGAGCCTCCCATTTCACAAGCCTGAATGGCGCTCCATCCTTCCATCTGCAATTCTGCTGCAGTCCCTGAATCTCCTCCCCTCCCGTCCTCTCTTGGGTGGGGAAGTGGTGGGAGAAGGAGAAGAAACAAGCGGCTGATTTCTTTGGGAGAAGATTTTAGCATTACCCAGGGAGGGCAGTTGGGGGAGAAGCAGGAACGCAAGAGGAGGGAGGGAGCTAAATAAAGAGCGCTAACAGCTCCTGAGGGCAAGGCACAGGCTCGCCATGGTACTCACTCAGGCTGCCCAGCTGTCGGATGACATTTGCCAGGGTGATGTTGGTCATGCATTCCAGCTCGCTTCTAACGCTAGGCAACGTCTGACGGCACAGGTGCCTTGGCTCGATGTTCCTCGTTACTAACGGCATGGTGGACCCGCTTCAGGCAGTGCTCTGAAAGATGAAAAACAACCCAAAAAAGAAACAGGAAAGGATTACTCAACTGCAAATTCCAGGCACACCAGGCACATGGCACTCGCTTTTCCTGCTCTGAAATGGCTTTATTTATAAGCCTGCTTTTCCCCTCCCTGCTCTTATAAAACGGGTTCTTCGAAAAGAAAGATCCCGCTGTTCTGCGGCTTGCAGGGGAGCCGCCGAGACCTGCTGGCTCAGGTGTGCGGGCGGCAGTGGAAAACTACCCACCTTTGCTGAGCAAGGAGCTGTTTACACAACTGCCGCTGCACCCTTCCTGCGGACAGGCTCGTTCCTGCACCAAAGCCGGTGAACGTCTGACGACAGCGCCAGAACCTTTGCTGCAACTCAGCCATTGTCTCGCCCAGAGGGCTGGCAGACCTTAAGCACATATTACACACCAAGCCCATGGTCGTATCCAGGCCCTCCTTCCTCAAGGGCAGCGCAGGCAGTGAGGGCTCTCCCGAGACAACAGGAAATGCTTGCAGCTGACCAGGAAACTTTCTGGTGACTGTTCTTTATCCTGTAGGCTGTGCCCCTCTTCCCTTGGAAACTCCCTTTGGGGCCTAGGTTTATACTGAACCATTGTTTTAGTGTTTCAATAGCTGATCCTAACTGGTAGCCTTGTAAGGACTCGGGGCTGGAGCCCAACTCTGGGGGCGGGGAGGGAAGGGGAATATGAACCTTGATTTCTTGCAGCAGACACACGGCGCTTCCAACCCCGACTTCCAGTGCGTTTGACAATTTATGGACCGCAAGGACTTAGGAGAGTTGCACTGCAGAAAGTGGTTTTCTGCGCCTGCCTGTTCCCTCCCAGTGCTTCCTAACAGCAAGATTTCCAGCAAGCACAGTCAGTCGTGGAGGTAACTGGCCTCTCTCACATCAACCCCATTCCCAAAAGAGAGAATGAAACTTCACTCCCGAGGAAATGGGGCTCTGATGAGTATTTAGCTATATCTCCAAGCATCTTCAAACCAAGCAAAAGCAAACGTACTCCCAAGTTCTCAATGCATTTCAGACAAAAAAAAAAAAATCTCTTTTTCAGGTCAGAGGAGGAAGAGCCTTACAGATGCAGGCTACTCCCTTTGTACTGGGTATGCTGATCTGCTCACATTGGGTGTAAAAATAAAACAGGAAGCTAACAGCTTGGGGAACATGGCTTCCTGTCACCCACAGCAACAAACCAAGAACCATAAAAAAAAAAAACCATCAGCTGTTTGCTCTTGACTTTGAGCCACCCTTTGATAGTCTCTGTGGCAGCTGGCAGCTTATCTCTGAGGTCCAGGAGTCCTTCCTGGATGCTTTTCTATCAGGGTGTTAAGAGGAAGGAGTGGGTATTATCTCTTGCTAATTACCTCACAAGCCAGATTCTGAATTTCTAAATTTAATGCGTTAAGGCAGAGGAGTTCGAGATCCAGAGCCCTGCAGATGCGCCAGGTACGCAGAAACCTCTGGTACGGACCCGTGCAGTTTGCCATCTAACAGCACCGCTGAACTCTGCGGTGGGCAGGTCATTTGGTTTACTTGTCCCGGTGTAACGGAAAATGCCGAGACCCCGAAAACTTCACCAAGAGGCGATAAGGACCATCCAACTCTAACCCAAGAAAAGCAAGAGGTTTTAGTAAGAGGTCTGAGGTCTTGCCACTGGCAATTGCTGTGCCTGGGTGCTGCTAAAGTTGCCCACACCTGCTGCAATATTTAAGTACCAAGTAAACTACAGAAGGACTTGCATTGCTCATTCTGAATCCCCTGTATTTTATTTAAAATTCAAGCATGAGAGCATGTGCGCCCTGACCTCAAAGAGCTATCTCTGGACATCCCACCCACCTACAACGGTATGAGACCTTCTGATGCGTGGAGCAGCCATCAGAAATGAGACAGCCGGAGAATGAATGAACAGGAAAAGTGCAGAGAAAGAAACCAAAGAAAAGACAGAATAAAAAAAGAGAGAGAGAGAAGAGAGAGAGAGATGGTGGCAACCACGCCCGTCAATGGCCCGGTCAGGATAAGGGATTACCATGCTGCTAATCCAAGAGCACATGTCACGAGAGACGAGAGCAGGGGACCAACAGTGATCTATTAGGAGCTGCTACCTTGAGTACACCACGCGTTGGCAAGGCCTAATCTGCACCGAGGGGTGAGAAACCGAAGTACCCAGCACCGGCTAGACCCATTTTTTACCCTGGTGCAGCACTGTCCACACTACAGAGGTGCACCTGCCAACCCCGCTGCACAAGACCCGACCCAAATGAGAAGGCAGGGGGCAGAGCGCTCCATACGCCCACTACGCAGGCTGCAAAATTCGGTTTTTAGCCCCTGTGATTGTGAAGACAGCCTTTCTATTGTTGCCTTGGAAGGCAAAAAAAAAAATTAAAAAGAGTGCTTCAGTTAATAGGCAGCCCTGGAGCCCCTAATGCCGCTCGCTTTCCCCAGGCTGCAGCAGGCTTGTCAGCTTCCATTGCTGCCATCCTGAGTCCCGGAGCCAGCACCGAAGCTGACAAGAATGAGATCAACTTCATTCTGCTGCTGTTGGGGAAAAAAAACTTGGCGGGGGGAGAAAACGGGGAACAAATAGCAGAACTGCAGAAGTGGGTGGTAGAGCACTCAAAAGGAGAAGAAAAATGGGAGGGGGGTGGGGAAAGGAGGATGGGCATAGAAAGGATTGCAGGGCTGCACAAATGTCCCCTGCAGTTGCAGGAAGGGAGGTTGTAAAAAAAATTAAAGTTTTCTCTTTCAACAGGATCAAAACACCAGGGGCTTCAGCATTATCAGACATCAGACCGACTGGAATGGAAACCGGGACCCTGGAGCTGTTGTAGCGGTTGCTCCCTCCCACTTCCCCACCAGCCCTGGGAAGAGGTGGCTCTTCCCTCCTCCCCCAGATACTGCCCGGGACACTGGGAACCCCCTTATCTGCCATATCAGTCTCTGAGTAATATGTAATAACCAAAGGCTAAACCCATCTTATCGGGGTGTTGGTGGTAGCCGTGTTGGTCTATGGACATAGGCAGACAAGGCTCTTTAGCTGCTCTAATAAAAGATACCACATCTGCCTAAAGAGTTGGAAAAAAAATTGTTCTTTGCAAGCTTTTGGAAACAGGCACCCTTCTTCGGGCAGAGAGAGGCTGTGTGCGTGCTCTCCTGGCTGGAGCAGAAGCCCATAAGCAAAAGGCAGGTCTGTGAAAATGTAAATGCATAACCCATTTTATACAATTTTCAAGCCTGATGTGCAAGTAGGTAGGAGGAAGAGATTGATAAATTTGACTGGAAAAAAGGGAAGATGGGTGTATATGGAGAGAGGGATTCTAGGGAAGTTGGAAGGATAAGAGGAGAAGGTAGAAACTACACGTAAAGAAAGGACAATATTAGAGGGTGGAGTAAGAAAGAAAGAATACGCTGCAGACACGGCAAGGATAAATACAACATGATGTTTAACAAAAGAGACAGCGGGGCGTAACCAGGAAAGGAAAGTTCAAATAAGAGTGGGAACCTACTATTACGTTTTATTTTTTAAAAAGTCATTAGGAGAGAACACTGATTAGCAAGATGCTACCAATGCATTCAGGACACAAAGAACTGCTTTTTTCCCTTTAAATTGCAGGAGCATGACAGCGCAGCTATTTCCAACCCTGGCTAGTAGGATTAGTTGTCAGGCATTAGCAGGTGTCAAGTAAATGTTTCAGCCCGTGTATTATGTATGGATTTAGATATTTTGAGTCAAACCAATTAAACAAGGTTGAGATGCCAGAGCGCTGCTGAAAAGCAGGGTGTGCTTTTGTTTTTAAGCATCTTAGTGTTGGTTCTGTTTAAATGCCACGGTTTTCAGGTGTGTGCTGTACTGCAAAAACCCACAACGAGAATGTTTTATGGATCTAAAGCACCCGCACCCGCCCGGTTGTGATATGAGTCGTGGTGGGATACCTAAAGTAATGAGGCATCATCTCCAGGGACACAACATGCTTTGGAGCCAGAGACGGCTACAGGATATTGGAAAGAGTACAAAGACACAGCACCAACCACATCTAGGAACAATCCCAGCGTCCCAGATGCTGCTCGTCACTTCTTCGAGCAGCGATATTAAATGGGCAATCTATCTGGAGTACTGGACTGCTGCTGGTTTGGTTTTAAATGGGGGCCCTGATGCTTGTCTGCCCAAATCCACAGGAAACACTGCCTCAGTTTACATTTGGAAGGCCATCTTCAAAACTGCAACAGAAGCAATGCTAAAAAATTACTTTTTAAAATTTGTTTTAAGCAATCGGTGACTAAGATCCTTTCACGTGGTGAAATCGCCACCCACTTGATAATGGAAAACGGTATTTTTTCAGGCCCCACAAGAGGGCACACGACTGGGTTAAACCCAGAGACGAGGCTTTTTCTGAACGACCACAAAAAGCAGGGAGACTAGAGGCTGAACTGCACCGGAGCTGTGAGCTTTGTCTCTCTCCTGCTTTGCTCGGGGCCATTTTTGCTTGACTGCACTACCCACTGCTCTTCCTAAAAATTTGCAGAGCGGAGCAGCAGACAGCTCTGCTCTGGGAAACTCATTTACCACCCATGGATCCCTACCGGTCTCCCACCCAGCCCCATCATTTCATTTTCAAAGCTCACTACGAGCTGGCCCTCACAGTAATTCCCTTCCTTGCTCACTCCCGCCTTATCCCCCTTGCTTTTCTCCGTAGCTGGAGAGGTGGGTGGCCCTCTTCTTCACCGTACCCTGCCAATCTGCAACTTCCCCTTCTTAGCAACCAAGTCTTCTCCTTGAATTCTTTTGGCTCTTTAATTCTGGGCTGACTTCAGCTGTGTTTCAAAAAAAACCCAAACAGATCATTTCCTGTCATTAGCTAGTTAAAGCGGCCGAGGGAGAAATGCAACTCCTATTCCACCACGCTGCCTATAAAGCATGCTTAAATGAGGAAGAGCATCTTCCTACCAAGATTTCTGGTCCGTGTGTACTTGCTGACTGGTACTCACAAATTCTGTAGACAGGGCTCTGCTACAGAGGATTTCACAGGAACTGCAGCACTGTGGCTTGAATTCAAACAGGGCTGGTTTATGGATGCTGCCTCTCTACAAGCCCTTGGGGTAAAGCTACACCCCCATTTGTGGCCATTAAAAATAGAGCTGGGACAGTGAAATCTTGAGAACCAACAACTGTTGAGAGCAATAAGGGAGATGATTTGATTAGAAAATGTTAAGATGCACTGCAGTGACCCGCCAGGTTAACCATCACCTTTCCTCCGGGAATTGTGTCAACAAAAGGAAGTCGGTGAAACAAGCCAGACCGAATCCATCTACCACGCAGCTGGGGTATGGAAAAATACCACCGCTTGG